TCACCTATTTCGCATAACTATTTGTACTTTCTCATACAGACACTCACCACGTTGAATCTCGGGTGCAACGGAATCAGAGATGAAGGAGCACAGTATATTGCTGATGCACTACGAATCAACACAGTAATATTTATTCACTCTTCATTTATTCCACATAACTATTTGTACTTTATCATACAGACACTCACCACACTGGATCTCAATAGAAACGAAATCGGAGATAAAGGAGCACAACATCTCGTTGATGCTCTGCGAAAGAACAGAGTGGTACTTTAAGGGTGTGTGTTGCTATGAATCGATCAGGAACATATTAGTCTATCTTGTAGCAAACGACAAGTTTTATCTATTGTAGTGTTTACGTTTGCTTGTCATTAATCGAGTTGTATGCAGAATATTGATATTTTGTTTTAAAAAGTGGTCGTAAAATAATTAATGAAACGTAGTTTTCAGTTGGCCGACGGGTCTTATCTTATTTATTTGAATGTAAGCTTCCATGAAGGCTATGCATATGAAGGAAAGGACTAAAGTATAAAACGCAGAAAACATTAAAATAAAACTAAAATGGGAGGAAGCAACTGGAGGTGAAAGAGGAACACTAGAACAATAACAAAATTTCAGTAGAATAAGTAAGGCCTTCGTTCGAATTTGTTTCTGATCAATTTCAATTGGTCTCAAAGAAAGACGATGTTAGTTCTCTGGCTTAGTTTCATATTTGACAAAATTTCGTAATGTGTTCAATAACAAAATCATCTGGTCAAAAATCTGATGCCATATCAGATACTACTATACAAGAGTGTTGGATCAAGTTAATTATTCTCGGAATACATTGTAATTGTTAGCATTAAATGGTTGATTAAGTTTAAATAAATGTGGATCATTATTATACTACATATTTAACGTTGTTGAAGATATGAATAAGTGTAATAATGTTGCGTAGGCTAAGATATAATAATTGTTGGCAGATGTTTATTTTGTTTGTGGTTATATACTTTAGTTAAGTTGAACCACCAAAATCTAGACATAGCGAAGATAGTTAATCTATAACTAAAAGGCTTGTACAATATAGATAGATAGTATAATCTTGGTTCCACTAGGTTCTTTATTATTAATAAGAGATTTTTTCTGTGAGGTTTTTGAGTACTGATCAGATATTTGCTTGATTATTTTTTCGTTCTTGATATTGACTTAAAGAATGCATAATTCGTCAAGTAGGTCTTCAATAACATTACATTTGTTTAATTGGTGTAATGACGTATAGATGCGGCAGTAAAATCGTCAACAAATGACATCTAGATTCACGGTGTATAGTCAAATTTACAATCGATATTGGTATTGTGATTGAATATAATAGTTTTATGTAGTATATTAGATCCACAGTGGGATGGCTATTGAAGACAATAGCTTTCAATACTATTGGAACCGAGTTTTGCACTAGAAGTGAGCCAAAATTTGTAAACAGCCAAATGCATTCGGAATAATACGTAGAAATGTAAAATCGGTTTTAACAATTGCAGTAATATTGAATTGTAAAACTTATTCTAATTACAAGTTAACTATCCACAATAGCTCATTCAGAATTTTGTTAGGACATTAGCGCTTATCTAGTGCAGTATAAGTTTAGTCTGTTTCATTAGGTTCTTCGTCTTTAATATTAACTTGAAGAGCTTATAAATAACTAGCGGGAGTACCCAATTTTGATTTACAGACTTCATATTGATAAATTCACATGCTAGAAAACGATAAATTCTGGCTACGTGTCACTCGAACTCCGCTTGAATTCGAACTCGATCCAGAGAGCATGTTCACTTCATATCCATCTTTATTTTCAGAACCCAACTTCGATGATGAATTTGCCTATCTCTGACATATACCCTCACTCATGCTAAAATGCGACAACTCAGCAAATATTGTGTGAGTGTGAATGTCTTTCTTTCCACTCATATCCATTTCCATGTGCCACACACACACACACGGTACGAAAAGATAATAGTAGCCGAATACTTTAAAACTCATACCTAATTTTTCGAAGTTTTTAAAAAAATAGTGAGAGTCACAGTTTATCAAAGATGGGTGAAATTTTGCTCCTCCCCCTTCATATTCTCTTTGGTGGAGCGAAATCCTTCATAAGCTTCCCTTGGATTTAGAGAAGTGCTGTGGAGAGTTTGGTGACGCTTGCTATCACAGGGACCAAATCCATAAAGAACAGGCAAACTTTCCTCTTTATATATGGGCAAGGCCAGCTAACGGTCCCCTTCCCTGGTGAAGGTTTAAAATCGTGAGTAATTACGAAATTTTCGTTTTTTTCAAAATAATGAATGAAATTTTTTAAGAAATTTTGAAAAAAAGATGAAAATGAACTAATCGATTTATAGAAAACAATATTCTTAATCGTCACAAAATGAAAAAAGTTAGATTTCATAGTTAAGATTATCATAAAAATGGCACTAAACTGTTCCTCGTGGAAAAAGAGAAAGTTGATGAAATTCCGTAACGCTCAATCTTTTAAGTCCTCTTATTTCAAGGAAATGTTTTACAGAGAAAATGACATGATATTCTAAGAGCTTGTGAAAAGCTGAACAATCTATGTATAAAACGTTTGTTTATGGGTCACTTACTTTCGAAGAAAAATGTCAGAATTTGAGTCCTCCCTCAAAATTTTATCCATTTTTGAAATTCCCTCACGAACGATGTTTTTCATATAACTCGGTTATGACTCGCCACAAGTCAGTGAAATTTTTAGTGCTAGTACGACCAGTTACTCTTCATATATGGTAAAAGTTTCAGAAACATTTCTCTTGTTGTGGAGGAGATACATGTCTCACAAGTTGAAAAAATGAAATTCTGTAACGCTTGCCCATATATAGATTATAGCTTATAATATAATAATCGAAAGATTTTCGGCTTCTTTACTGTATTTTGTCAATCATCTTCAATTCTAAACCAATATATGACTTTAATAATTAAGAATATTTCGTAATCAATAGAACTTCTACTAGGTTATCGAAACTAAACGAAAGATATCCATTGATAAGATATTTTCAGAATGTAATGAAACTATTATGCCCCTAACTACAACGCGATCTATGAACGATATTACAAAGTATTTTATACCAATTGAAAGTGAGTGTATCGAACTCTATCAAGTCATTTAAAAAAATAAAATATCTCAAAGCGTTTTAAGTTCGATGTTGAAAAGTTTGCAACGCGCTATAATTTGGTATAAAATACTTGATGATATCATTTATAACTGAAGTCACACAGGGAAGTGTAATGATTTTGTTACATTCAGTAGATATGTGGTAGTCGATTAGGAAATTGATTTAAGTTTGGAATACTATAAATAAAGAAAAAAAGAGTTCAGAATAGTTTATATAGTTGTAGATTAAATTTGATATATGAAAACTATTTTCTTCTGCTAACAACAAAGTAAACTGTTGCCTATTTGAATGAATTTAATCAAGTTAAGAAAAACGAAATTTCGATTAGAGATAAAATTGATTTTTCTGATTGTTTAGATTTCTCATTCATTATGAACATTGTTTTATAAGCGGGACATGCGAGATATTGATTTTTAGAATCAAAGAAAAAGAGATTTTGTTTTTTTTAATTTGTTTCATGACCGGGATACGAGGGCCGTTCAGCGATTGGTTGTTCTTTTCATAGAAAGTACAGAAATTGTTTATATTAAATTGTTTTATTACCCAAGGTATAGAGATTTTATTTATCTATTTCATTTACATCGAGCAGGGGATCTGTAGTGTAAGTTGCCTATTCGTTTATTTTTTGCTTAATAAATATTAAAAGATTTTAGAAAATCAGATATGTCCAGTGAGAATTATTTATATTACTATGAATAATAAAATGATCAATTAACGCATAAATACATGAAAAAACCGTTAGCTGTACACTAACAAATTACAGATTCAAATCATAGTACTGAATTCATGTAAAGTGTGTACCAACACATCAGAATATGTTTGAGAATTGATTTAACCATTTCCGTCCGGAATCCGAACGGAAAGAGTTAAACAAATTCAATTCTGACTAAATCTATAGATTTAATTCAAAGTAATTCTTCATCTGATAAACTTGAGAAAAATTTCTGTGTTCTCTTACAAAAATACGTGATACCACGTTGATCATAAAGCTGTTTTTACGTACTAAGATTTTCTCTTTTAGAAAAATTTTCATCTTAATTTTTTTTTCGCGCATTCTAATCTGAACTAAATTCTTATGTCAACTGTGACAGATAGATATCTATCAAAATACACAAATCTAATATTCTTTTATTGTCACATTTCCAACTTAATTACCTATTGTATATATTTTCTTTATTTATGTTTATTCCTTAGTTTATAAAATATAATAAAATAGAAAATATATTTAAATGAATAAATTATAGAATATCAATCTTTGTAAATTTTAATATAGATAATAATTTTTATAAATATATCAACAATTAGTTTTTTAGAATTTTCCATGAGTATATATGTGTCAATTGTGATACTATTCTATTGTGCCTATGTTTATGTACTCTTTCTTCTCCTCTCTCTCTAATAGTATTAACTCGAGGTGAGTATTCTCTTGTTGGTTTTCTTTCTTTTAATCATTGTAATTTTTATTTGATTTTGTATAGACGAGATAAAACCACAAAAATAAAATCTCGAAAAATCACGACTATAACTAAAAGACCAAAAATAATTCTTCTCTCATGCTATGTGAACCACATTTCTCTTTCTCTATTGATTCTTATATAAATGGAAGTAAAAGATAAATAACATTTATTGCTTTATGATATACCATACACGATACTTCAAGCATTATGTCTACATCTGATTTTATTATTGATGATATATCAAAAGATGGTAATTTAGCGACAATTATTTATTCTAAACCACTTCATCATAGAGTTCAATCTATAGAACCAATAAATTGTTCAAATACTCATACTCAAGTTCATCAACCTCAATCGTCGTATAATATTAATTCTTCGTCACCCTCTAGCAACCCCAATCGAAATATAACTCAATCAACAAATGAAATTAACAGTTACACAGCTTGGTCTATTGTAAACATTATTTGCTGTTGCAATATATGTTTTGGTTGCCTTGCTTTGCATTATTCAATCAAGACAGAAGATTTAAAAGGAGAGGGTCTTGTACAAAACGCATTAATAACTTCAAAGGTAGCTCGTAACATCAATCTAGTTATTACAATGTTGGGTATATGCGTTTTAGCTCTCTCCTTTATCCGTTTTCTCGTTAATTAGGCTTATTTATTGATATAACTTTATAATTAAACAATATCGAAATCATCTGAACTACATTTAATGAAGATCAGCTTTCATCATTATCAAAGATATTCGAGATAAAGATCTTTCAGGATTAATCTAGATTGTATATTGTAATTCTACATATTTTTAATACCAACATGTATCTTCAAATAAACGATTGGTATAGGTGTAGACATTGATCTTTGATTGATCCACACTCTCTCAATGCTTTCCAAATTTTCTTAGTTTTTATTAAAAAAAAACAATATATTATTCAACTATCAAAGATAACGGGTGGTCCAGAGAAAAAAAGCCAACTCTTATTTTTTATTTTTTCTTCGTATGATCTCAAATGGCTATCATTGTTTTTTCTACCAAAAGATGCGCCGTAAAATTCTCTACAAGAACTTGTAGAGATATTTAACATAAAAAAAAGCTATGAAAAAATTCAATTATTTATTTCGCGCAACTCCAGTGCGACTAATTTTCTAAATCTACTTTTTTTTGAAAACTTCGATTATTTTTACTAGGTTTATTATGAAAAAACGAGTAAACAAGTCGTTCTTCCCTATAGATAAGTGAGCTCTTTATTATAATACACAATAAAACCTATTTGAGCCAAGTATTATCCTCAATTAACAACAGATTCCTTTAACTCGATGTAAAGCAATTATACTTTAGTTTATTTTACTCTTTTTACTCGAAAAAAAGCCACAAATTAGTTTTCGATATTACCATATGCTGTGCAATTTATATACCCTACAACACAACATAATATAAGCTACAAAAGAGTTATTTTTCGATCGTCATGTGTAAACTTTTCTAAATACCAAAAACCACTAGTGCAAAAATGAATTTTTTAAGAAATCTGATCAAAAAGAAAAATTTATTTTCTCATATATAATGTAAATGAAGAAAGAAGCTAATTCTACTGCTGCATAAAGGCTAATCATCTCTCAATATACCTAAAAATACAAACAAATAAAGTATTACAAAATTGTTTATTTTTACCAAAAAAGTTTAGAAAGTTAGCCGTGCTGGAGTTGCGCAAAACAATTGGTAGGATATTTCATACTTCTATTTTATTTTAAATATCTTGATATATTCAGGTAGAAAATTTTACGGCGCATCTTGGTAAAAAAACAACGAAAATTATTTGAGATCATACGAAGAAAAAATAAAAATAATAGTTAGCTCTTTTTCTCTGGACCACCCTTTATATGTGCCGATATTGATATCACTCTATTATGACTATGTTTATGTACCCTTTCTTCTCCTCTCTCTAATAATATTATTTCCTTTCTTACACCCACGTGTTAAATCAGTGTGACTATTATCTTGTTGGTTCTCTCTCTTTTTCTCATTATAGTTTTTGTGTGACGCTATATAGACGAGATAAAACAACAAAAAACAAAAATAAAACTGGAAAGATCACGAGCCTAATTAAAAGACCAAAATGATTTCTCTTTCTGTGTTGATTAATATATAGATAGAAGGATAAGATAAATAACATTTACCACTTTTTTTTATAATATTATACTCGATACTTCAAGCATTATGACTACATCAGATTTAACTATTGATGGTTTAGCGAAAGATGGAAATTCGGCGAAGGTTATTTATTCTGAACCACCTGCTTATACAGTTCAATTTACAGAACCAACCAATTATTCAAATACTCATACTCAAATTCATCAACCTCAATCAACGTATAATATTAATTCTCTACCACCCACTATCAACCTCAATGGAAATAGAATTCAATCAACAATTCAAACTAGTAGTTATAAAGCTTGGTCTATTCTAAATATTATTTTCTGCAATATATGTTTTGGTTGCCTTGCTTTGCATTATTCGAACAAGACAAAAGATCTAAAAAGAAATGGTCTTGTGCAAGATGCATTAAACACGTCAAAGGTAGCTCGTAATATCAATTTAGTTAATACACTGATGGGTATATTCGCATTGGTTTTCTTCTTCTTTATCAAATTTCTCATTGAAATGAATTCTGAAACAGTTAAATGATATCATTGATTATTTTAACTCACTCTACGTAGACTATTTCAAATTATCATTTCTTATTTTGGTTCTAATAAAGACAAAAATATCATTAACAAAATATAATTTATTCTTGATTATGCTTATTTATTGATATAACTCTATAATTCAACAATATATAGATCATGTGAACTACATTTAAACAAGGTCGACTTTCATCTCTACTAAAGATCTTTCAGGATTAATCTGGATTCTATATTGTAATTCTACATATCTTTAACAACAACATGTACCTTCAAATAAACGATTGGTATAGGTGTAGACATTGATCTTTGATTGATCCACACCTTCACACACCCACACCCTCTCAATACTTTCCAAATTTTTTTAGTTTTTATTAAAAAATAAACAATACATTATTCAAAAATCAAACATAGCGTGTTTATCATATTTAACAAGGAGGATATTTTCTTTGTAAATATTCTAATAAACTTTTTGTCTGTGTTGTATTACTATCGTATAAAGTAACGACATCTGAATTATTTAATTGTGTATTATCTCGTAGATACGATGTTGTTGCTACTCTATAAGTAAGACCACTTTTCGAGATATCTATTCCATTGAATAACCATGTTTTACCATCATCAGGTGTTTCTACTCTCGTATAAGCAAGAAACATTCCATTTCCTTTTATTGATATACCAGTCGTAAGTACTCGAGCAAGTAATTCACCAGGAACAGAAATTACAATCACAACATTTCCAAAAGGTAATGTACGTAAAATATCATATTGTGTTATTGTTTCACGAAGAATATCATCAATACGTACAGTTCCTGAATTAATAATTCCAATAGTTGTTTCATTGTGTGCTGTTAATTCTAACATACTTTCACAAATAGAAGCAGTTAATAGTGTCATTTGACTTCGTACAGATTCCGATCGTCCATCTAATTCAATACCCGAAGGTAAACATGATACAATTTCATTTGGTTCAAAACCTAATGCTTGAAATCCTTGTATACCTAAATTAAACCAATAATTAGCAACTGTTGCAGTTTGTTCATCATCAGGTATTTCAGATGTAATTTGTGTTAAATGACTATAAATACGAAATCGTTTTGTATCTAAATTAAATGCACAACGATGAATATAAACAGTAAAAGCATTTGCATCTGCTTTATAAATTGGTGTATATTGTCTTCCTCGTAAATAATAATAATTTTCATGTTCATGTCCACCAATAATAAGATCAATTTGAGGAATTTTCGTAGCAAGTTCAGCATCAATAATCAAATCTAAATGAGTTATAGCAACAAGTACATCATATGTTTCATTTTTTGAAAATTTGTTTAAAAATTCTTGAACATAATTAATTAATGATGTTTGATTAATATATTGAATATATGAACCAGTTCCATCAATAGTTAAACCAATGAAAAGTATTCGAACTGTATCAATAGTTATTATTTTATGTGATATACTTGATCCAAATAATTGATTATTATCTTTACGAAAGACATTTGAACTAATCCAAGTAAATTTTGATTCATTCATTCGTGCAAGTAAATCATTTTCCGATAAATCAAATTCATGATTACCAAATGTCATAAAATCAAGTCCAAGAGTATTCATTGTTGCAATCATTTGTTTTCCATTTAAAGTTGTATCATTAACTTTCGATGAACTTAAAGCTGATGGTGAAAGAAGATCACCAGCGAGAATTGTATATGTATGTGAATTTTCTTCTTTTAATAATCGACGAATATAAGCAACACGTGCTAGTCCACCTTTTCGTCCTCTATCAAGTGGTAATAATTCATAAACATCATTTAAATGTAAAAATGTCCATTGAGCATAACGACCATCATTTGGTAAACGAACAGGATAACCAATAATTCCATTTTCAACTGCATAAATCTTTGGAGAAACTTTACTACTACGCCATAAACTAGCATAGACAATAGTTAAAATAGTTAGACATATGATTATTACAATTAAAAAAATAAATATAAGACCATATGGTAAAAAAGATTTTTTTAATCGATCAATAGTTATAGGTGACATGGATTAAAATAGATCTAAAAATACAGATAGAAAAATCAATCTGTATAAATATGTTTGTTGTGTCTATTCGATGAAGAATATCAAATATATTAATAGGACAAGGTCAAAATCTGTGATAAAGACAATAGGAGAAAAAGTTTCTTTTGTTCTGTCAATCAACAGTAGTGTCTTGACAAGTATAGATTATAAGAAACATACATGCGAATATCATATGTAAAAGATGTCAATTTCTATTGAAAAAAACAAAATCTAACTTTTGATTATTTATTTTTGTCCTATAACCATATAGTTGATTGATTAATGTATTTTATTTCCTTTATCTAATCTGATTAATAGATTTAACAATAAAAAAATTTATATCATTTCTCATCGGTCACGACTAGCACATCAGATTACTTACTTGTGAGATATATAAGAAATGAAAAGAAAATGTCTATTGATCGAATATAAAACACATAAATGTCGTGTACAATGACAAATATCTCAAGAGACACAAATAATACAAGTTTAAAGAGCAGAATAGATGAAAGAAGAGAATAAGATTATAAAGAACATATGTTCTTCTCAAACATACAGAACAGAGAATAAATAACATGAAGATTTTTTTCACAATTTTGATCTATCAGATTAACGATTTTTGATTAAACTATGCTACAACCAGGAAGACAATATGACATACACGATATTCAGAAGTCTAGAGCTGTTGAATTCTGTATTTTTAAGCATTACATACTCTATTATTTAAGTAAAACAATGTTACACATCTGTTACGATACAATCTTATATCCATGTGTATGACATCTTTTTTATCTATGAAAAAAACACATACTATCTAACTATGTACAACGAAAAACAAACGTAGACGTCTTATATATACATATATATGTGTGTTTACAAACAGTAGATGAAAGGAAAGAAAGCATCCAGGGTCTAATTATCTGATACAAGCCATTTCTACTGCGCGAGTGCACATTTTATGTATATGACTGAAATTCACCCTACATCATTTTAACGGAATAATTAGTAAGGAATTATATGATAGTCCTTTTTTTTAATTTGATTCAAATATTTGACTTAATTTGATTATCTAAACACATTCTAGTTTATTATGTGTATAGATCTAATTTTTTGAACTCTAACAATTAAAATGAATTTATGTAATATTGAATATTTGAATGATGACTTGGATTAGATTTTTTATGTATGTTGATCGTATAATCAAATATTGTTGAATGATTAATAAAATAATATCGATCAATAAGACATTTAATGTTGGTTTTTTTTATTCTTTCTGATTTATTTTAGTCAATTTCTTTAATACGATCAAAACTTTTTAGACATATTCATAATATTAAAATAACTGAACTCTAGAATAAATCCGTAGAAACTTCTGCGAAGAATCAACGATTGATATATGATAATGAATTATTTCGATAGTTTGGCTGCCTGCGAGAATGGAATATTATTTGATGAAGAAGAAGAAAAGAATGAATATATAATGATCAGCTGGTCAATTCCAATAAAATCATTCAAATATCTTATTGATAATATAGTTGTATTATCATTTCTATAATTGAACCCATGTTAGATTTAATATGCAATATTTCCATATAAATTTTTATCCTGTTTAAGTGATCAAGCTTTGTATCGTGTATAAAATAATATCTTATATGATCAACATTTCCTAATTAATTTTATATAGGTAATTTTGATAATCGTCTCTTTGAATATCTTTGTTTAATACGAATAATTTATGAAGAACGAACAGAGGGCATGAAATCATATTATGAATTAACTGTCCTGTCTGTGTCATGTTTAAATGAATCGCAGCCATATAACAACTATTTTATCGTATAATATGTCAGGTGCCTATAATCTTCTTACTACTACTTATTTACTATAGAGTAACAGAAAATTTATTAATCGCATTAGACTTTTAGATGCATAACAAATAAACAAAGCTCTTATTTCAGGCATTATTCTTACACATCTTTCTATATAGAAGCATAAGAGTTATAATTATACTAACTTGTATATTCACACTCTACCCACACATTTGATAATTTTTCTCTAACATAAGTACTATCGTATAACAATTCATCATTTCGATGTCTCTCGTTTATAAAAAAAAAGCTTAATTTAAAGTAATAAGTCGATGAGAGCATGTTTAGTTGGTTGAATAAATCTTTCTATAGCAATTATTTCATATTTCACATTCCAGTTTGACAAAGATTACTCTACCAGCTTTATTTTATAATCATCCGATAAATTTTTATTTCTTACTAGTAATAAAAAATCTATATCAACTTTAATCTATACATTTTTAAAGTTTGTTTTTTTTCTCATGTAAAAATGATACCATCAAGGTCAAACTTATACTATCGTATAATTGTTAAACATAAAAAAAATGTCCTGTTTTTTATTATAGAGTGGTTTTTTTAAGTTATTTTTTACAACATCACTACTTTCAATTTTTTTTTCTTTTGCGTTCTTTTTACTTCCAAAGAAAAAAGAAACCATTTACTGGTGAGTAACGACAAATATAGTGTAAAATTATTAAACTAAAAAGGATACAAAATTTCGTAGAGTAAAGGTAAGAAGTCTTCGATAAATTAGACAGAATATATTTAGTTTTTAATGAAGCAATATAAATACTCATATTTGTAGAAACTATGTCTAATCTCCGACTTATGCGTTGGATATATCCTCAACAAACTGGATCTGGATTTACATTTATTCCTAATTCTTCAACTACAAATAATACCGATATTGAACAATATTTTCTTCAAATAGCAACGAAATTAAAAAAATTTGATATAATCATCAATCATAATTTACCGCATCTTTTACATGGATGTCTTAAAGAATGGATTCGACGAGTACAAAAACTACAATTATATGTTATCTATAGATATATGAATGAAATCGAAGGATATTTAAAGATATTAAATACTACTTCGAAAAGTTCATCAGACTTAAAACTAAGAAAGAAAATCCAGACGGAATTAAATAGAATTATCAATGATTTAACTTTTGATTTAGAAGAATTACAAACAAAAGCACGATTTATTAATGATTTAGAAGGACAAAAATTTCAATATTTCAATGTCGGTACATGTAATCTAAGTAAAACTGATGATATAAACATATTAGCACGTATTTTAATAAAAGATAATCGAAATGATCGTATTCTCTGTTCGAATGATATACTAAACAGTAATAATCAATCAAAATTAAAAATATTATTGCATAAATTAACTGAAGAACGCAAAGCAAATCCTAATTTGCATTTAATCTATGCTGATTTTTCTTACACTTCATTCCACTTATTTAAAATGATGATATTACCATCAAAACAAAGTATTAGTCGAGATAATTTGTCTTTAACATTTGTTGATCCATCTTCCACATCAATAAAAAATAATGATGTTATCAATATTCTTCTTATTGGTGAAACTGGCGTTGGTAAATCAACATTTATCAATGCTTTTATTAATTATCTTACATTTCCTACACTTGAACAAGCACAATCCAATAAACCTCTTGTTGCTATACCAGTCTCATTTATTATTACAACTGGTGAAAATTTCGAAGAACATACAGTTAAATTTGGTGATTCTAATGATTTAAATAATGAAGATTTTCAACATCCAGGTCAATCAGTTACTCAACATTGTAAATCTTATGTAATTCATCTTGACTATAATGATAAAAGAACTTTACGTATTATTGATACACCCGGTTTTGGAGATACACGAGGTATTAATCAAGATGATCTTAATATGCAACATATTTTCGAATATATCAATGATCTAACACATCTAAATGCTATATGTATTCTGTTAAAACCAAATGTTTCACGATTAAATATTTATTTTGAAACATGTTTAACTCAACTATTAGATGTTCTAGGTCCGAACGTTAGTCAAAATATAATGTTTTGTTTTACTAATACTCGATCAACTTTTTATACACCAGGCAATACAGCACCATTACTTAAAACGAAATTAAGTTCACTTCCAATAAAGAATATTCCATTCAATAAAGAGAATACATTCTGTTTTGATAGCGAATCATTTCGTTATTTAGTAGCTGTACAAAATGCAATTCAATTCAACGTCGAAGAGAAACAAGAATACGAAACCGGTTGGTTAAATTCTGTAAATGAATCAAATCGTTTTCTTACTTTCATTCGCAAACAACTTAATACATATTCTTTACGTAATAATTGGCAATCAATTAGATATGCTCAAATTCAAATTAAACATATGATTCGGCCAATATTAGAAGCGATGAGAAATATTCTTCGAAATTTAATTTTATGCAGTATAGATCCTTTGACGAATAAATTTATCAAGCTATGTCCGCGAGCACTTGACCGTCCAAGTGCATTTTGTGCTTCATGTAAACGAGATCCTTTTCAATTGAAAAATTTTTGGATTTTACCTGATGATGCACATGATTTTCAAAGTAAATGTTCTACATGTTCATGTGTTCCGGATCAACATACTTCGATTGATTATATACTTAGTTATGATATTTTAAATTCTTCATCGAATGAACAACAAAATAAAATGACGAATCTTCTCGACCAATTGTCTTGTGCTAGTATTGACTTCACTCATTTTCTTATGAATAATGTTTCTCGTTCAATAAAAGAAGATCCTTTCCGAATGGGTCTAATACGAATTATTCGCGAAGAGAAACAGATTTGTGAAGATCATGAATCAAATCAATTAAATTTACGTTTAGTTCAAGAATTAGAAAAACTTTTAATTACATACGAAGATCAAATGAAGAAGAAACAATCAAATGAAAAGCAAGAAAATTTACAATTTATCTATGAAAGAATCGAAGCAATTTGCAAACATTCAATAATACACGAACAAATGATTGCGATTCATCAACAAAGAGAAAAATGTAAAGATAATCATCATGAAATTGAAATTACCCAAAATTCAATAAGTCAAAAGATTTATTTATCTACAGAATGTTAAAACTAATATCGAAATTTGTACAATAAAAATAAATTACTTTGAAAATTTTTTTTATTCACTGAACTAGATCTTTGAAATTGTAAGAGTTATTTAGTCAAATATTTGTACAAAAATATCGAATAGCTTATATGAATAATTGAAGCAGATGTAATAGAATTTTTCTAAATTAAAATCTAATTATTTCGTTTATGCGTGTGATTTTATTTTTTTTTAATAGTCAATTAGCCGAGGTGTTTTTACTCATTCAATGAATAATAGAAAAAATGTTGTTTTCGCTTTTTCTTTTACAAAAGAAAATATTTTGTTGCTTTGCATATTATAATAACAAAACACGTGACAAAGCTCTAGAGAAAGAACGAAATTTGACGATAATATGAATGAATAGATTCTCGACGAATGTCACTCAATAAGGTAATCTTTTTCTTTACTTGTTATTTGTCGAGCACAATAAGCAAATATAAATATGAAATTTACTATTACAAGACAGTTTTCATTTAATAATGAAAAATATGAAATTATTAGTGATTCAAAATCGATTTGTACGGTTAAAGCAACACCATCGAATGAATACGAAGGTCAATTTAAGTAAAAATATTTTGATTTAATTTATTTAATATTACATATGTATCTATATATAGTTTTAAACTATCAAATCCATTTAGTAAACATATCGGAGAAGATTATTGTCTTGTTGAACCTGATGAAAATCAAACGCAAAATTATTTAATTTATTTAAAAAATGATCAAACAAATACAAAAAATTTATTTGGTCAATTACTTTATCAAACATGTAGTTATAATAATTATCTTTATACGATAATAATTGAACAAAAATTGTATAAAGTACGAAGTGCTGATTTAAAAGATCGTCGTCTATCTATGGTCGATGTAATGCAAGTAAATAGTTCTTCGAATGGACAACAATACCCAGCACTTGATTATCCAGAACTATTATATCAAGTTACGGATTCATTTACAAAATCAAATAAAAAATATCATGTCAATATTCATAATAAAGAATGGGCACTTGGATATCTTGCTATTACTATTTTACTTGATCTTCATGAATGTAAATGAAATGATATTTTTTAATCTCTCGTATAAAATAAATAAAGTTAAATGTATACATTAATATTATTCAGATAATTGATAGAACTATTTGGAAGAGTATTCGATTGATTAATATGAAATGATTGAAACTGCGTACAAAAAGATATCGAATCCTATCATTATTGATATGTATAGTTATTTATTGAAAATAAATTCTATATGTATCAGTATGATTCGAGAGAGAATGTCTAACCAAGATCTTGTCGTCTATCAGCAAAAATTACTTTGTCTATTATTATTTTGTTTCAATCTTTCATTTTGTGGCTTACGAATGTTAGATATTAATCCTTATATAGAAATCTATAATTTTCAACGTGAGACCTTAGAATAGAATGTTCTTGTTATTTCATCTGATGATATAAAAAAGTAACATGTTAAGAATGTTAGAAAAAAGAAAAGATAACAGTATATATGATTAAATTAGGAGCTACACCTAGCAGACAATATCTTTATATTCATCTTATCTTGCAAACTAGACGCAAAGACTCTTTAGAAATAAAGTAAAATATTTGTTGTTGTTAGACATTGTTTCGTTATAATATGAAGTTGATTTATAGATGGTTTGTTCTAATAATTTTATCGATAAATTTTGTATCGATCAGTGGAAAAACATTTTTTGTTTCGGATTATAATGCTTATCCAAATGATGATCTTGATGACACGCATGGAATTCAATTAGCTATTAATGAAGCAATTAAATATGGTTTAGTTAGCGATATTATCTTTGGATATGGTGTATATACAATATCATCAACAATAACAGTATCTAATGCAATTAATTTAACAATAACAGGACAGGGAATGGATGAAACATTTTTAATTGGTTCTTATCAAATAACGATATTTAATGCATATAATTGTCAAGGACTAAAATTGACATCCTTTTCTATTGACTATAATCCACTTCCATTTACAGCTGGATATATAGTTGATGTAAATGATAAATATCTTGATCTTCAAGTTGTTCCACCTCATCAAACAGATATCGATCGAAAAATAGGAACAATTCTTCGATATGATCCCATACAAAAAAGGCCAGCTTTTGGTTCAAATACTTATGAAATTTATCAAACACCTCCTGCAGACGCTAATACAACTATTGTGTCACCTGGTGTATTACGTTTGCCATTAACATCACCTACAGGATTTCGTAAAGGAGATCCTATTGTTGCTCGTTATACTTTTGGATATCATGCTATATATGGTCAAGATTTAGTCGATATTACTATTGACTCGATTACTATTTATACATCATGGCTTATGGGTGTTGCCACAATAAGATCAAGACGTTTGAAAATACATAATTATCATGTTCTACCGCATCCTGGACGTTGGATGAGTACAGCTGCAGATTGTATGCATTTTCTTGATACGAGAGAATCTATTTCTATATCTGATAGTGAATGTCAAGCAATGGGTGATGATGGTTTAAATGTGCATGCAATGTTTTTTCAAGTAACCCAAGTAATTGATGCAACTACTGTAGTCATTGAAGAAAGCAATTGGGATGAACCACTTAATTTCGGAATTGGTACAAATTTAGAATTTAGTGCTAATCAACAACCGTTTTCTATTCATGGCAATGGAACAGTTGCATCAATTGTATTTAATTCAACTTATTCAAGAAAAATAACATTCACGAATTCCGTTAATACAAGTGTTGGTGATTGGGCTTGTGTTTCTGATACTCCAGTACTTACTATTCGAAATTTTACTGTTGCAAATAATCGTGCTCGTGGTGTTTTATTAGAAACACGTAATATTGATATAAGACAATCAGTATTCTATCGAACAAGTGGACCAGCAGTTCTTATTCAACCATCAATGTATTGGCGTGAAGGTCCTGAAGCTCGAAATGTGTCATTAATTGAAAATTTATATATTGAAAATAATGAAGGTATTGCACAAGAAAAAGGTATTATAACTATTTTACCAGATCCAATTCATTTATTTCCTGTAATTAATGATATTCGAATAGAATCATCAACATTTGTTCTTGGAAATTCAAGTCAAGGAATTTTACAGAGTAATAATATGAATAATTTATTTCTAAGTGGAAATTATATTGCAACAAATAATTCAACACCTATCATATCTATATGTAATAGTCGAAATATATCAGCAGAAAATAATTGTGTTGTCAATAATCAAACAAAAATTACTGAATATTATACATTCGATCAAGGTAGTCCATGTTCAATGAATTTAAGTAGTTTGATTAATTTACTACCATCAGCATTTAATTCATCATTTCCTCCACCTGTCATTCCAAAACAAGTTTTTAATCAACATCATTACTTTATTAGTAAAAAATCATT